CGCCCAACTTCGTTCCAAATATTTTTGAAAAAAATGGACAAACGCCTACATACAGGTTCCATTTTTTTGACACTTTCAAACATTTTGACAAAAAGTCGGTCCGTTTAAAACGGCCCTTACCAGGCAAGGGACTGGATAGATAGATGGATGCACCCGAGCAAGGGTGACAGTTGGTGGCCTGGAATTTGCGCCGGAAACAGCAAGCAGGAGGGCGAACAGGACACCAGCAGCAGCTATCCTCGCTGTAAAGTTGTACATGGGGGGGGGTGTACTCATAGTCGTGCATGCCGTAGTCGGTATACCATTAACCTCGCATCCCTACAAAGCCGGGACGGAGCACGCCGGGTTCTCACCGGACCAGGTCGTACATGGGGATTAAAAAATTCAAGCGTCATTACCACAGGGAAGCGGCGTCAAGGACAATTGCTATTCGTCCCCGGTGCTGTTGCTTGGCATCATCAGATGTTGGCTATTTGCGCCTTGCGCCGCCCTTCTGTCTCGCACTACATTTTCAGTCTAACGCTACAACATGCGAGACCCTCAAACCAACAGCAGTACCGGTGCGCGGGCGAAAAATTATCTACTCCTTCCACAAGCAATGCATCGTGAGGAATAGTTGCCTGCACGTCCCCCCGTTCCTTCCCTCTGTTGTAGCATACGCTTGGTTGAGTCTCATAAATGAACGAATGGGCAGCTCTCGAATGAAGGTATTCCATCGTTCCTTCCGTTCACATGCATTGAAATAGGGGCGAATTTACGTAACACGTGCCTGGAGCTATGTATGCCGGAGTGATCGACGATGTTATGCACAGCTCTGACAGCAGGTGCGGTAGTAGACCTTCATCGGTTCTCGGTGGACAGAGGTGTCGGGGGTCGGGACATGAAGTTTCCATCATATTTTGTTTTTCAAATCACTGGGCACCATTTCTGAAAAAAATCTCGCATTTACCGCGGAGACTTCACTCAACCCGACCGTACCTGAGCTATGGGGTGGTGCGCTTGCATCGGTGGACCTGATCAAAGGTCACGCTCTGCATGGCCTCGTCCTCTGACACGGGAATGCCGTGGTTGGCTGGCCCTAGAACCTTCAAGAACATGNATATATATCCTTCCGCTCAGCTATGCATACTACTGGTGCCCTCTTCAAAACGCATCAGTGGCGGGGCGTGGGGGGACCCGCTGCGACCGTATTTTCTCAGTTGTTGTTGTCTTGACATCGAAAGAAAAAAAATTCCGGTCTCTGACACGCCTTGTTTTTCAGGGGTTTACTCGGTATTTTGTATTTTACGGCCAAACATGTTTCGAAAGGGGTACATCGAATTTCCAGAGGAAAAAGAAAGAGCAAAAAAGGGTGGTGGTGATGGTGGGGGGGTGTATTCATAGTCGTGCATGCCGTAGTCGTTAGACCATTAACCTCGCATCCCTACAAAGCCGGGACGGAGCACGCCGGATTCTCACCGGACCAGGCTCTCACATCACCAAGCGCCAAGCGCCGTGAGATAATCGGCGAGTCGCATGAAGGGTGCGCTGCATCCTGCTAAGGGTGTTCGGCATCTTGTGCTTACTTTCTTGCGTACGGATGACAGCTGCGTATGACTTAGTATAATTTCTGGTGCTTTCACTTCCTAAGAACTGTGTAACTGCCTCGAGGGTTGCTTGAGCATTTTAACACAACGTGGTGCGATCATCCCCCTTGCGCGGAGCGAGGGTGCTCCACCCCGCACAACATGATCCACTCGACCACCATTATTATGGTTACCGCCAAAAAAAACAGGGGAAAAAAAAAACAAACAGTAATAACCTGGTTGCCGAGTTCAGGAAGTGAATTGGCTTGTTTTACAACGTCGTCGCCAAGCGACGAAAACCCAATCCCGATGGCAAACACCGACGGGGGGGCTTGTTTTACAACGTCGTTGCCAAGCGACGAAAACCCAACCCCGATGGCGAACACCGGGGGGGGCGGTAGGGTGGTGGGAAGAAAAATATGGCGCAGAGGAGAATCGAATCCACTGATCTCACAGCACTAAGATACCACGCCCCCTGGACCGAGTGCCTGATCATTCCACAGCAGAGCGACGAGGCCGTATATGGCGGCATTGGAACTACTATCTCGTCGAGAGCTTTTCGAAAATGTATCGTTTGATTTTTGGAATCGTCTTCGTCGTGGAACAACATAGGTTGAGACTTGGTCAAGGGGGTGTGGTATCTTGGGCAACCTACGGTTTCCGTTGATTCTTGCTTTCAACACGAGATATATACACCGGTCGCCCCGGTGGTCTAGTGGGTAGCCTCGCAGCCTGCTAAGGGCCAGGTCAAGGGTTCGAGTCCCGACAGAGTGAGTTTATCCTGGCCTCCGTTGGAAGCGACGCGCTGCAAACCTCGTTGTTCGTAAACTTGATCGACTTCATAAGTCGCGAGGGAAGGGATTGCTGTACCCTTCTCGCGATAAAAATACCTCAGGCATGAACCGCAGGAGGGGGTCCAACCCCCCCCTCCTATGTGACCCCGGTTGGGTCGTCTAGCTAGTAGAAGTGGAGGATGGGGCCAGAGGGGCAGACGACAGAGTCCAATGATGAGAGAAAAAAATAATATATATATATACGGAGTATATATCTAGGGACACAGGCTTCCCTCGTTGGGGTCAGGCCCAGGTCGCAGTAGTCTTTACCCACTACTAAGGGCTGGCAGTTCTCTTCGTTGAGATTTAGAGACGAGAGGGGCTCCGAAGAGAGAGACAAGAGAGAGAGAGAGATAGTGCCGCCGAAGGGGCGAGGGAGACCAAGCCCGAGGGTCTCGGATTCCCAAGCTCCACAGGTGGCACCAAGAGGGACGCATCCATAGTCGGGTCTCTTTCTGGTCAACCATCAGTAAAATCCTCCGTTCGGATCGTATTTTGGTCCTACTTTTGTATGTGCAACAACAATGGTAACAGCACTTTTACGATGTAAGTGACAGTAGAAATAAGTCCTACATGTGTTGTACTTCATATTTGTTTAATATTCATGTAGAGTTGTTGTTGTTGTTGTTGTTGTTGTTGGCTTCACATTAAACCGTATGTCAGTTGCTAAATGCCAAAATCTAGCAAAAGACTCTCAGCCCGTGGTCACGAAAGTGCTAGAGCCATCTGAGGATCTAAAGAACACGCACAAATATAACGAGAAAAAGGTATCCAAGAGCCCGAAGAAGTAGACTACACCTAAAAATCCGTGCAGCACCGTATGTGTGCCCAAAAACTGAACTGCACGTCCGTCCCACCGTTCGACTACTACAGACAGGGTTTTCGCACGATTGAGAGCGAAGTTTCCGATTGAGAGCGAGAACCAAAAAAAATCGAAATTCGGGTCCAGACGCCTCCCGTCCCTTCTCGGGAAGCAGGGGACGGGCTCTTCCAAAAAGCGGCGCAAATTGAAGC